CCAGTTGTTAGGAGGAAAGGGACAGTTAATAGTGTCAGATTGTGCAGGGAGGACAAAGTAAATGAGGGCTATTCATGCCCACAAGGTTCAGCTCTGAGGAGGTGCTATCTCCTGACTGTCCTCCCATGGGTAGGTCCTCTCTGCATCTCTTGAACAAAGGGTACCCAAGCCAAATAAAGTCTATGTTGGCCTTTCTCAGGTTTTTTTTTTTTTTGAACCTGCATTTCACTCCACTCCTCTAGACATAGTCCTAAAAACAGTACTACACATTCTAAGTCATTCCATTCCCATCACTAATTCATATAATGCTCGTGATCAATGAAACTCTCAGTCTTTATAACGTGAACCTCTGTCAAAGTAGTTATATGTGCAATGGACTTAGATAACAGGTCTTTAAAACTGACCAGCTCCATTTTGTTGCTTTTAGGCCACGTCTACAGGTATTCATCTTTCAGTGGCCAGCTATTGTTTTAGTCACAATAGTATATCTGTTTGTATTCAACAAAATAGTTTATATAAGAGAGTCTTAAATATCTCTAATTGCATGGAAACAGATGAGTAAGCATAAGCATATTTATTTTATCATTCCAGTGTACTTAAACTCCTCTTTGATGTGATGACAGCAACTAGGGGAAACAGTTCTTGGTTAAATAAACTGTTGGGTGGAAAACAGTAGTGTCTAGACAGATGTGCAACTTTCTTAATTTCTAATTGTTAGTTGGCACTAACAGGTAATCAGAAGATTATCCATGTGTCAGAACTGTGGCAGTATTAGCTCTTAAGAATAAAATGATGCACTGGGCCTCTGAGAAATAAAATTGCTACTTGGCGTCATGAATGCTGCTTCATCCTTGTTCACTTTGTGTCTTGTATGAAAGGACCTTGATTAAGAAGCATATTTATTATTTTTATTCTAGGATTCATAGTTTATACTAACTTAAGATTATATAATGCTTTAAAACTTTAGGATGCTTAGTAATAAGGCTCAGAGGACTATTGGATGATTTTTTTTTCTTACAGCTGATTTAAGAAATTGAGAGAAGATGCACATTTAAGGCACTTGTGTTTTAAAACCATTTCTAGTAAGGTATCAGTTTAACTAATTCTGGACTTGCTAAAAACCTGTCCAAAATCTATTGTTGATTCTATTTAAATTAGTTTGAAAGGACAGCCCTTTGGTTAGCTGAGTAACATTGCCAGTACTGGTCTGTCCTCAAAAATGACCTTCACTGACCTACTATCCAGCTCCCTACTTTGATCCCAAGTCTCTTCTTTCAGGTAGCCTCTCCCAGACTACTAGCTCTTGAGTTCGCATTTGATGCTTCCAGTTACCTCTTGTGTCCTAGCTTTGATGCACAACAGCTTTGTGAGCATTTGGGCTTTGAGGCTGAAGACACTATTAAAGTGCCAGGGAGAAAAAAATAAAACAGAATGTTGGAATAAAACTGGCTCTGATTCTTAATGAATTTCGGTGCTATTTTGTGATCAGTCCTGCTGGTTATGGAGATTGAAAGCCAGAACATTTCAGCATGTTTCTGACTCTAGTTTCTGATGGGTAACTGAGGGAGAGGGAAAACAAGGCTGTGTCTTCTCAGTCCACCAGTCATCCTCTATTTAGAAATTCATAAGAACAACAAGCCCTCTACTGCATGTGCTTAAGATTGTATAGTTGTTCTGTATATTGAATAAACCATATTTTAAATTAAAGTTAAAGCTTTCCAAAAAGCTTCCTTACAATTTTCCATGTATTTGAGTCTGTCAACCTGCTGATATACCAAGCGAGTCTAATCATTTGATTAGATTATAGCTTCATTTTTATCTGTTGGACACAGTGAGGGCCATGCTCCTTTACAAATGAATTAAATTAGAAGAGAGAAAAATAAAAAGTAAAGATTGATTACCAGTCGAGATTAGCTTAACAGTGAGATATGGAGTCTTGGGGAAGAATGAATATGTCTTGTTGAGTGGGACAGTAGTTCTCAGGCATGGCAAGTCTAGAAAAAAACAGTGCAAGTGACTGGGAAAAGCTGAATGGATTGACAGCCCAAGCAGATACAGTAGAATGATTATTTTTCTCTAAAGGACCCATTTCAGCAACTGGCCAGCACTTTGGGAGCCTCTTAACTCGGTGGTCCTTGCTGGGTCTCCTCTTGGCAAATTGTGATCAGAACATTGGCTTCTGTAGACTTGCCTGCTGCTGGAGTATGGCATTCCTTTTCCAGTGCTAACAGCACCCTTAGTATGAATAGCATACAATTACTTATAGCCTCAGTTTTTGAATATGAACCTAGCAGTTATTTTGCAAAGGAAATGGAGTCCTTCTACTCTGTACTGAATATTCTTGTTGATATAGCTTCTGGTAAGGGATTCCTTCCCTTTGAATGTTCCTTGTTCTCCTTTAGTGACATTTTCACTCCTTAAGGGGTCTTAAGTGATGCTTTTGTACCCACCCACTGTCTCCTAGTGAAGGAGCATCCTTTGTATGGGATAATGTCAGCAAAAGACATACAGGTCCCTGCCTCAGTGGAGCATCGGGTCCAGAAGACAAGCAGCTGCCACACAATTCAAAATGATTAATGACACAATTGCCAGGTGTTTAAGGAAGAAACAAAAAGAATCTGGGAAAGTGCCATGGGGCATATAATGGGATCAGACCTAGTTTGTGTTTTGCTTGATCAGCTCTTTCCCCTTTGTACTTCATAGAAAGAAACCCTTTCCCCTCCTGGAACAGAAGTGCAAGAGCTGCTTTACATCCCACCAAATAAGATACACATCCCCTCACTGCAGAGTTTGGGGGGATGTAGTGTGTATAGTAGTCTCATTTATTTTATGTGGGAAAAAAAGATTTGCTTTCTTTCCAGATTAAGCTATGCAGTTCTTTCTCTCTGCTCCTCTCTCCTCTTTGTGGTTACCTCCTCCCCCTGCAGTATCTGTTATTTCACCACTCATCCTAGTCCTTCTTTCTTTCCCCACCAAATCTTCAGAAATTAGTGTATACAGTTGAAATATACTGCTTTCCTTTCCTAAGCTATTTGTATTTTGAGCCTTATTCCTAGCTAGTAGGGGAAAACCTGAAGATCCTGTGAAAGGAATTCAGGTGTGGGAAACCAAGAGAAGAGATGGAAACGACTGCTTCTGATTCTCTCTGAGCAAGTGAAGTGATGGGCCTCCTGCATCTTCTTCCATCTCTCCTGTTTTCCTGTCTCTGAGCCACAGTGGGGTCTCCCCTGGGAGGTCAGAGAATGGGCAGCCATTGACAGGGTCCCGTGAACATAGGATCTGCTCCCTTGCTCCATTCTCAATATTTATGACTTTGTGAAGGAGGAAATTCCCAAAGCAGATGACAGCACTACAGTAAACCTTGTACGCAACTCAAAATAGAAAATCTACACTTATTGATATATAAATTTTATTGCCTTTTTATTTTTCTGAGAAGACATTTATTTCTTTTTCCTCTTCTCCCCTATTTAGTTATAAACTTTCTATTCATGAGTATTTTCAGACCTCAAATCCCCAGGTTGGAAAGAAAGAGACCAATTGCCTTCTTACTATGGCATTAACTGTGAGAGTCTTGGGCATCAAAGAATCAGCTGAATCAGGAGAATGAACTTTCCACTGACATTCATACCTGACCATAGGGAAAGTGTGTCAGTAAGAACAGTGGGCAAGCATCCCTCCTCAGGGTGTCTATGCCTGGGCCACTGGGAAATGTTCAATGTGGAGTCTCAGGGCCTACCACCACAGCACACTCCCTTTCTAGTAATTGAATATAAATTAATTTGAATAGCAAATCTGCAATTTAACCTTGAAGCATGTTTCCCCTTTAAAGTGCCATTATTCTAAAGTATTCAGGTATGCACATGTGTATACACACAAACACACACACACACACACACACACACACACAAACACACACAACCTTAAGAGGCTGTGCCTTGATGAGGAAAGCGTGTGCTCATTATGGAATTTGTATTACTACCAAGCATAGGTTTCCCAAAGATTGTGTTCACGTTATCTTTGAGAGTAACTAGACTTAGCCTTTTTGGTCTGTTTTTTGTGTTCTCTTTGGGAATGTTTTAAAGGGATTGATTTAAGCATTCACACTGGGAAGAGTATATAGGTGCTTAAAAATTTGGAAGATAAACATAGCTTGGGACACAGTACTAAATGTGTGCCCATCCCCATTCCGCCTACCTGGTGACCCAGTGGCACTTGCTTTTATGTTGCATGTTATCCAAAGTGGCTTCTGTAATCTGCTCATCTCAGCAAACAGGTTTGCCCCTGAGCAGGGGCCCAGTTAATGCAGGACCTCCTGTCTCAATGCTTCTAGAGCTCCTAATATAAGCCAACATCTTTGAGAGATAAGTTGTATTTACAGTCTTTATCAGAGTATCATTACTAACAATTTATATTTGTGTTATTTCAGAATACTGTACAGCTATGATTTTGCAGTACTTATCATGGCATATATGCTGGTTTCTCACAGTGTGTGCCTTCTGGCAACTATTCCTTTTTTTTTAAGTAAAAATGTCTTTTAAAAAATAAAGTATCACTCTCTTTAAAAAAGTGAGACAGAGCCTGGTGGCCCATGCCTTTAATCCCAGCAGCTGGGAGGCAGAGGCAGGCAGATCTCTGTGAGTTTGAGACCAGCCTGGTTTACATAGTGAGTTTCAGGACAGCTGGGGCTACAGGGAGACCCTGTCTCAAAAAGACCAAAACCAACAACAACAACAACAAAAAAGGCAGTATGATTTCTTACAGATTTTGGTCTGAAATTCTTCCACAGGTCTTTTGTTTTTTGTTTTTTTCACGTACTAACCTTAGGGGGTTGTGCCCTGATGAGGAAAGAGCTTGTCATTATGGGTGAGCAGTGATGGCGGTAAGCTCAAGTCTCCCTGCAGTAGCTCCTAGTGTGGGCTGCATAGCTGAAAACAAAGTACTGCCTTGGTGGCTACATTTTTCTTATTCTAACTTGATTTCTTTTCCTAATATTTTATTAGGTGCAGAGAGAGCTAGCAGCTGTTATTGCTTTGAAAGCAAGGAAGTCTGGTGAGTAGTCTCTTACAGACTGAGGAATATTATGATTCTTTGGGGATATCTCACACGTTACCTGGAAGTGTGCAGCTGAGGGTATTTCAGGATGCTTGCCAGACAGTGCAGAAAAGTGTTACCGTATTTTTTTAAAGCATTTATCTTACAATCTAAATAGCACATGACTTCAAAGTAAAATCTTACTCCTTTCCTCTTATTTTAGATTTCAAGGAAAACTAAAAATGTTTGTAGTACACTGAAATCAGGAAATAGATCTAAGTATATGACAAAAGCAATTAAATCCATGTGTTTTGTATTACAATGACAGAACAATGAATATTATACTAATGGTCTTTTTTAAAGATGTCGTATTTTTTATCTCAAAGTGATTTGTTTAAAAGTAAGTTATTTAATGACCTTTCACAGCAAATATTTTTCATAAGATTGATTACATAGATCTGTTTCCTCATACTTGTAGGATATAATCTATAGAAATAATATATGTAAAGCAAAAGGAGGCTTTCAAATGTATTTTGAAGGAGAAAAAACATTTTCTGCTAAAATCCAATATGAAATGGGGACCCAGTGAAGTGGAAAAATGCTTGCTTAGGGGGCAGAGATGTCAGAAGGTGGTGTCTTGTGCTGTCCCTTCCTGTTTAGAGGGAGGAGATCTCTGCTGAATGGAATGAAAATCAGAAAAGAGCATCTTGGATAACAGTACACTAGGTGAAGACTTTTCAGGCAGAAAAGCGATGACAAAATGAAATCAAGACAAAACCTCAAGAAATAAATGGAGCAGAAATGTGTTAGGACAACCCATACATTTGATATATTTCTTTTTGTAGGCACATTTAAGATTTGCTTATCTCTCAAGTACTTTTTGAATCAAATACATACTAGTATGAATGCATTTATTATATTCAAGTGCCTTTCTTTGGTGATTTGGCTGATCTAAGGATACAGAGACCAGGTGTGAAGGTGGTAGAGAGAAGGCTGCAAAGAACAGTGGTCCAGAGTAGCTTGAGAGTGCCTGTGAGCAGAGCTCCCTGGGGAACAGCATCAGATGGTGCATATTTGCAGAATTAGAAGTTGAGAGAAAGAACATCAGTTTAAAGATTGTAAGGAGAAGAGCTTAGAGGTAAAATGGACTGGGGCTCATCTTAATTCTTTAAATGGTAAGGAAATCACACATGAAGTCTATATGAGTTGGAATAGCAGTGCCCTGAAGGATAGGATTTGGTTTTTGAGTTTCAAGGTGAGCTTGGGAAGGTATATCAAAACATACAGCTACCATCACCAGGGAAAGAGCAAGTACATGTAGAGGAGACAGCATGTGACAGAAGTGCTGTGCCAGATGGGCTCCAGGGCTTAGCAAGGAGGTAAGAAGGGCTGGGGGTGAGGGAGCAAAGCGACAGAGGTAGATGTGGGGGTATTAGGCTAAGAAACTTGAACTTTCTGGAGGTGGAGGGAAATGATGATCAGTAAGAAAGACCTATACATGTACATGCAAGATTGGGCAGAAAAACTTGTATGAAGTCAGTTTTACTCTGCCTTGTCATCTTAGGAGGTTAGAGTATCTGTTTTCCAATTGATCTGTGGAGCTTAGAATCTGAACACAACTTGGCAATTTTTTCAGGTGCAGAAGAAGATTTTACACACATAGACTAATGATGGGAACATAAATTCACAGCTTTTCAGAAAATCAGTTTTTCAGGGTGTTCCTACTTCTCTAACTCCTTGATCCAGTAACATCAGGCTAGAGGATTAAGGAAGAAGGAAATACATTAGATTGCTCATACCTGTGTTTCCTCTCTCTATATATGTGTGTCTCTCTCTCTCTCTCTCTCTCTCTCTCTCTCTCTCTCTCTCTCTCTCTGAGAGAGAGAGTCTCATGTATCCCAGGCTGACCTTGAACTTTCTATGTAACTGAGGGTGACTTTGAACTTTTGATTTTCTTGTCTCTACCTCTTGAGTGATGGGATTACAAGCATTACATCACTATGTCTGGTTTACACAGGCTAGGGGATTGAACCCAGGGATTCACGTCTGCTAGGCAAACACTATGAATTGTACTACATCCTTAGCCCTTGCATTACTTTCTTTAGTGATAAGAAAGTACAGACAATTGGCTGGAGAGATGGCTTAGTTGGTAAAGTGCACACACATAAGAACTGATTGTGATAGTAGGAGCCTTAATCTTGGTGCTGGGGAGGTAGGGACAGGTGGATCTCTGCAGCTCCTTGGCCAGCCATCGTAGCCCAGTCTGTGCACTCCAAGTTCAGTAATAAACTGTCTCAAAAAATAAGATGGAGTGCAATTGAAGTCAACACTAGATGCTGCACTCTGGCCTCTGCATAAACACTCAATGTATGCATGCCCATGTATACACACACACACACACACACACACACACACACACACACCACAAACATGTACATATATCCCTCCCACCCCACCACACACAAAGGAAAAATGAAGTAGAAACAGTCCTTAAGTCCCTTAAGGGTCAGTGATCAACATGGTGGAGTGTGAGGCAACTTTTAAAATGACATTTTGAGCAGTCATGAGGTACAAACCTGTAATTCCAACACTCAAGAAGCAGAAGAGGGAATATCACTGCAAGTTCAGGGCCAGCCTGGTCACACAAGTGAGTTCAGAGCCATTCCGGTCTACACACAGAGACCTTGTGTCAAAAGTAAAAAAGACATTTGGAAGAATTATGTAGTGTAGTATTCAGCAAAATCTTATATATTGCCTTCCTGTTTCATATTAAAAATAGCTTGATTTATTTTTCTTTCTATTAGAGTATACACTATTATACATTAATGCTTGAAGAAGAAATTGGAAAAATTTCACATCATCTCACCAGCAGAAACAGTGATACATTTTTTTGTATATAGTTTGAGTTAGCCTCCTATTAATATGTAAATATACAGATTTTGAGACAATTATAGATTCATGTACATTTGTAATAAATGATACAGACATACCCCAAACATTCTTTCAAAAAATTGTTTTTTGATTTATTCTTATGTGTAAGAGGGTTTTGCCTACGGGTATGTGGATGTTGGAGTCCATGGAACTGGAGTTATGGACAGTTGTTAGCCTCCATGTGGGTGCTGGGACCTGAGCCTGGGTCCCAGAGGAGCCAATGCTCTTCACCACTGAGCCATCTCTCTAGTCTTCCCCAACCCCCAATCAAGCATTCTTTTAAAAAATTGTTTTAATTTATTCTTTGAGAATTTCACATGTATATATGTGAATTTGTATGTGTGAATTTATATATATATGTGAATCTCACATATACATATATATTTTTTAATGTAATGTATTTCGATCAGATCCATCCCCCTTTCTCTCTCCTAACTCCTCCCAGATTCTCCCTACCACATTTCCCTTCTAATTCCATGTACTCCTTTAAAAATAAACAAAACCCCCCACTAAGTTCAGTTGTTGCTGCTGGTATGTACGTGGGTATAGGACCATCCCTTGGAGTGTGGGCAACTTACCTGGGGCCAAATCCCTGAAGAAAATTGACACTCCCTCCCCAGCACCTAGCATTCCTTATACAAGGTCCCTAAGTAACATCTTACAAAGCTATGGCTCAGAGCCACAACCAGGATAATAACACCGATATATAACATTTCCGTCTTCACAAGGACCCCTTATGGTTCGTGCTTAAAACTTCCCTGAACTTCCATCTGTCCCTATTCATAATCTGTTCTCCATGTCTATGTTTTTCAAAAACATTATATGAATAGAATCATATAGTGTATACTCCTTTGGAATCCCTCTTCACGGGCACGATTTTCTGGAAGTTTATTCCAGTTGCATATATCAATAGTTCATTTCCTTTTATTGCTGAATTATATTCCGTGGTTTCAGTGTTCCACAGTATTTTTTTAAATTTATTATTTTTATTTTATGTGTATGAGTGTAGTGTCTGCATGTATATGAGTGCACCTGTGTCATGCAATGCCACAGACGTCAGAAGAGGGCTTCAGATTCCCCTGGAACTGGAGTTAAGGATGGTTCGTAGCCGCCATGTGGGTGCTGGGAATCGAACCCAGGTCCTCTGCAAGAGCACTCAGTGCTCTTAACCACTGAGCCATCTCTCCAGCCCCAGTATTTTTAAGAATTCACCTGTTGACTGACATAAGGTTTGTTTCTAGTGAGCTGCTACAAGTGTTCATGTACAGTACAGACTTTTATAAACTAAGATTTTATTTATTTATTTATTTATTTATTTATTTATTTATTTATTTATTTATTTACTTTTGTCCTTTTGAGACAGGGTCTCCCTGTAGCCCAAGCTGGCCTGGAACTCACTATGTAGACCAGGCTGGCCTTGAACTCACAGGGATCCGCCTACCTCTGCCTCCCTAGTACTGGGATTAAAGACATGTGCCACCATACCCGGCATGAACTAAGATTTTATTTCTCTGGAATAAATATCCAAGAATACAATTACTGGATTTATGGCAATTGCACACTTGTTTTTGCTTGAGAAACTGGCAAAATATTTCCTAGAATAGCTTACATTCTCACCAGCAATGTGTAATGGAGCCAGTTTCTCTGTCTTTGGTAGCATGTGATAGCATCACTTTTAGTTTTGTTTTAGATATATGATAGGTATATAGTGATATCTTACTATAGTTTTAGTTTGCATCTCCATGATGGATAATGATGTTGAATACATTTTCATGTGCTTTTTGTCACCTGTCTGGCGTCTTTAGTGAAATTCTTGTTCATGCCTTCTTCCTGAATTCCAGTTGGGTTGTTCCATTTTTCCACTGTTGCGTTTCCATGTTTCTTTATATGTTCTGCATATCAGCCTTTTGTTGATGTGTGCTGCCAAATATTTCTTGTAATACATTGCTTATAGTTCATCCTCTCAGAGTGAAAGCATTTAATTTTTATAAAGTCCAGTTATTAAGTTGAGTGTGGTGTGCTTATCTTTAATCCCAGCAGTTTGGAGATTGAGGCAGGATGATTGTCAGCTTGAGGCCAGCCTGGAC